TGATGTATGGTTTGTTAGGATCGGACAATATTTGGCCGAGATACAACTATCTGAAAATCTGGAATCTGAGGGTGCAAAAAAATCTAAATATTGAGAAAATCATCTTTAAAGTTGTTCAAATGAAGTTCTTAGCAATGCATATTACTAATTATAATACATTTTTTATATTTGTACAGTATGAAATGTACAAAATATCTTCATGGAACATGATCTTTACTTAATATCCTAATGATTTTTGGCATAAAAGAAAAATGTATAATTTTGACCCATACAATGTATTGTTGGCTATTGCTACAAATATACCCCAGCGACTTAAGACTGCTTTTGTGCTGCAGCGTCACATATGAAGATATTTTTAATGAAACCTGAGAGATTTCTGTCCCTCCTTTGACAGTCCGTTCACCCAAGACTTTGCCAGTTTAAAAGGTTCATTAAAAGTGATCCGTACGAGTCGAGTGGTTTGATTCAAGTCTTCTGAGAAGACCCAATCACATAAAGTGCCCCATTATGACATTTTTAAGCTTCCTAATATTGTTTTGGGAGTCCACTACAATAGGTTCACATGCATGCAAGGTCAAAAAACGCTTTGGTTTTCTCAAAACATGCATTTAATATCACTGCATTTTCCAGTGATTCCCAAACGATTCGTTCGAATCAGTCTGAGATTCAGTCTCTCTAAACCCCTCCTTTCCGTGAGCCTGCTCTGCTCTGATTGGTCAGATGGCCCGGTCTGTTGTGATCGGTCTACTGTATACAGCGCGTGTCAGAAATGATACACCGACTGCCATAGTTCCGTATCTTGAGTGCTTGATAGAAAATATGAACATCAATTATTAATCATACTTAAAGATTGTGATTCATTGGAGTCAGCTGGTTCAAATAAACTAGTTAATGAGCTCATCTTTGTTTTTTGGTTGAAAAAATGATCTTTAATCTGAATATTATTGATTTTTGATTCAGTTACGGCTGTAGTTCATGCCATATTTCTTTCGATTGAGCCCCGAATGATGAGCAACTCATCTAAAATCAAACAATCGCTGACCAAAAGATCATCTGTTGTGTAATCTGCATTCTGTTCAGAAACCCGTAGGAATGCTTTGCATCATGTTTTCTGTTCATTCGTACAGGCATTTAACCGGGGGAAGCGCGAGGGGTTTTTCCTCAAAAGCGTCGACAATGCACCGCTAGCGAAACGCCGCAAGATGAAGATGTCCAGTACTGGTGTGGAGACCAGACGCAGCTCCTCCTCATCATCTTCATCCTCCTCCTCTTCCTCATCCGCTTCCCATTCAGAGACGCAGAATCGCCAGTCTTTGAAGCCCCACGAGGAGCCCAAACTGTCCGACTGAGAGAACGCATTACAGAAGCATCACGGACCGCGCAACAAATTCAGCATTTACTGAAGTCTCTCAACAGGATCAACAGTCTGTCTGTGTGCTTTCAAGTCGTTTTTAAACACCGTGCCAAGGAAGTGATCGACATCATAACAGAGACTCCTTAGAAAGCCATATGTGAGCGTTAGAGTGCACTTCTGTTTTAATGATCCACGGAGCCAAGCTTTATGTGAATCCTGTGTGTAAGTTTTCTCGATGTTTGCATGGCTATGGTGTTTTGAATGTTTTACATTTTTTTAAAGTTGAAGTCAGACCACACAGAGTCGTCACATTGCAGAAACTGATCCTATTCACACTTTTGAGTCAATCTCACAAAGAAATGTCAGTCAAAAACCAGTCATACGGGTCAATTTTGTGAAATTGAGATTTAATCATCATCTGAAAGATGAATAAATAAGCTTCCATTGGTGTATGGTTTGTTAGGATAGGACAATATTTGAAAATCTGGAATCTGAGGGTGCAAAAAAATCTAAATATTGAGAAAATCATCTTTAAAGTTGTTCAAATGAAGTTCTTAGCAATGCATATTACTAATCAAAAATTAAGTTTTGATATATTTACGGTAGGAAATTTACAAAATATCTTCATGGAACATGATCTTTAATTAATATCCTCATGATTTTTAGCATAAAAGAAAAATTTATAATTTTGACCCATACAATGTATTGTTGGCTATTGCTACAAATATCCCCCAGCGACTTATTACTGCTTTTGTGCTGCAGCGTCACATATTTTAAACAAACACCGAGCGACGCTTATGATTCAGACTGAGTGTTGAGCTGACGGTTTTATTAAGATGCAAACAGTAAAACACCTCCAGCAATGTTACATAAACTCTGCTTTTCTTTAAGAGCTGTGAAGCTGGCAGGTATGAACAGTTTAACAGTCGGAAATAACATATTCATCGTTTGCTTGTGCCAAAATGATCAGTTAATGGAGGATAGTATTGTCTGTAATTGAGTTTTGCACACTAGTCTGGGTTTTTTATGCCTTTATTGTTCACGAGCGATGCTTCTGTCAGCTTTTCATGGATGGAAACAGCGACGTGAAAAGACTGGAACAAATGCAGCACGTTATCGTCGAGGGGTTCAGGCGCATGACTTTGCTCAGCGTCTGTAATCAAAGAGTCTTTCAGATGGAGCTACATCATGCCGTGCCACAAAAATAACCTTGACTTTAGGCCTTTTAAAGGAATAGTTCACCCAAAAATTACAATTTGCTAAAAATGCATTCACCCTCAGGTCATCCGAGATGAGTTTTTCTTCATCAGAACAGATTCGTGGATTATTGTGATGTTTTATCAGCTCTCATTCTGACGGCACCCATTCACTGCAGAGCATCCATTGCTGAGACACTGATGCAATGCTACATTTCTACAAACCTGATGAAGAAACAAACTCTAATCTCTGATGATCTGAGGGTGAGCACAGTTACAGCTAATCTTCATTTTGAGTGAACTTCAAGAGATGATGTATCAACGAACAGTGGTTTTACACTATTGTTTTAGGTACATTTAAATCACTTTGATTTCTTTTGTCGCACACGTTTGTCATGTCAGTGTGTTTTTGGCTTTAAAAACAGTACATTTTTTTATTTATTTCTTTTTACTTGCTCTCTATATCTGTATTCAATGTGTTATAGCTTTCTGCTTAATGCAGTTTAGTCTATTTTTGTTTAATTTGTCAGTAGAAGTCTTATTTAGATCATGCACTGCATTTGTTTTTTTGTGGAACTTATACAAATGTACATTTTTGATTGTGAAATTTTGTAATGGGCGTCTAGAGTTTAAGGGTGAGCTTGCGGTCTCTTTTATGGCTTGAGTTTGGTCTGACTGTATTATGTTCTGATTTGCATGATTTATTCTTTTTATTTCAATTTCTCGATAACTTAAATGTTGTTCTGTCTCTGCCCAAAAAAAAAAGTTTTGTAATAAAAAAATAATTATAGAGCGGTAATGAAATAATGTTTTGTAATATAAAAAGAATTATGGAGCGGTAATGAAATACACTGTTATAAGAATAAATGAGACGCATTGTTGTGCAGTAAGAACATCGCTGAATCCAAAGTATTCTACTCTCTAACTTTCCCTTCCCTTCTTAAGCCAGTAACGGTTTTATCGCTTTAATTTTTTTGCTCTGATGTCTTTTGACAGCTCAGATCCATTGCATTATCTTTGAGTGTTGTCTTAAAGGGGTAGTTCACACAAAAATGTGAACTCTTGAACGTATGCCAGTGACTGTGGCACAATGTGAAAAAAGGGAAATTACTTGCTCTTGTAGAAAATATTCCAAATACAGTTACATATTATGTTCATACTTTGATTAGCATACTTTGACAATAACAGCTTGATATTGTAAATGATACATAAAATATTCACAAAAACATATCCAATGTTTCATCTCCGGTATACTTACTCTTCTCTACTAGTTACACAAAAGACACTTTATTAAGGGAAATTACTTGCTCTTGTAGAAAATATTCCAAATACAGTTACATATTATGTTCATACGTTGATTAGCATACTTTGACAATAACAGCTTGATATTGTAAATGATACATAAAATATTCACAAAAAAAGATTTTTTAAATTGTATTATATCCAATGTTTCATCTCAGGTATACTCTACTCTTCTCTACTAGTTACACAAAAGACACTTTATAGTGTGGAAGAAATGATGCCACTCTGAGAGGGAAAATATTGAGATGGTTTTATGATTATTTACTTTCTACACAACCATAGTTTTTAACAGCCTTATATTTATATGTTCATAGATTTTCTTGATCCTCAATCAATCAATCAATCAATCAGCTTGTCCTGTGTAGAGTCATGATCCTTTAAACTGTCTAAAAAACAAAATTGCCCATAATCACAAATTCTTCTACAAAGACCAGATTGGTCTTCAAAATAATATGTGACCCTGGAGCACAAAACCAGTCATAAGGGTCAATTTTTCAAAATTGAGAATGTTGTCTGAGTTCACAGTTCAGTTTGAGTCATTCAGACAGTTCACTCACGCACTGAATCGTTTGCGGTGGTTTCTCACACCGGGATCATACAAAAAAGACTATAAAAAGACGGGGACCCTTCTTTGATCGCTGAGGTCTGTGTCCTGATGCTGATAAAAGCCTAGAATCTTCTGATAGGCCTAATTCTCATGACGTAATGCTCCAGAGATGCAGTAGCTGGTGAAGCACAGCAGATGTCACTGAAGGCATGGCGTCAAAACGGCCCTGATGGCACTGGCGTGTTGTCATTAATCAAAGTGATGTGTAAGCGGATCATTTGCATTGGAAATTGTGATATATGGAGCATGACACAAATGGATATGAATGGAACAGTAAATCAAAGCGATTCCATCAATTATAATTGGCCCCTTCTGGCTGTGACCCAAGGTCTTCTGGCTCGTTATTTCAGAGGCTCCTGACGATGAGGCGCATGTGAACTGTCTTCACATCAGTGCCAAAAATGAATGAAACGTCAGCTGCTACTCTTCAGCCTGACCCGTAGTAAGTTAAAGTGTCTCACACTTCTAGGTTTACTAGTATCTGCCGGCTCTGGCTGCTGAATTATTGAGCTTAAGGAGAGTGAGTGTGACCCCGGCGGTGTCGGTGAGAGCGCTGAGCTTGATTTCATGGCATATCTTCAGATTTCTGCATCAATTTTTCATCTCGCCTTTCCAAAAAAGCGTTTCATTATTAAAAAGCCAAATATGAGTGGAGCACTATGGCCCACGCTGAGTGAAAGTGCATGATTGTTGCTTACTGTGATGCCTCACTGCTTTAACAACTTCTCCTTCTCAAAGCCCTGGAGGAGCTACAGTGTAAGACTGTCTGATGCTTCTAGTTAGTCTCGCTGTAAAAATGCTACAGTAAACAGCACTGTAAAAAAATTGTTAATGGTACATGCCCTTAGTCTGTGAGGTGAAGCACTGTAATAGATCTGATGAAACATTGCATGCAATTTTACAGTAAAATACTGCTGAAGGTGCAGTTTTTGGAAGTGAAAAAGAAGTGGTCGTAAAAAAACATGAATCAACATTCTCTGAATCCTCTATGTGATAGCTCACACTTGATGGTTTGTCATTAAAGTAACTGTTTCTTGATGCTGATGACGGATCATGTCTGTGTGCACAGAGGTATGCAAATACATTTGTAGGCAGGACAGCCTATCATAGCCCTCGGACCGAGGAATATGATTGGACGAACATTTTATGGTCCTATGAACCACAGAATCGGTCGAGTCGGACAGCACCCATATATATATATATATATACACTGTCAATTAAAATACACACAAACACATTTGGAACCCATAACGGTACACACTAACACTGTGTACAGCAGTTTAAGTGTACTCACTCGCTCTTGACTTGCTCTTAATAGTCAGTCAAAGTTATGACTGTTTGAGGAAACTAACCAGTAGGCTTGTTACAAAAAATAGAGATGCACAGATCATGATTTTCATGGCCAATTCCGATTGTCAGCAAATGGGCTGATTCCGATACGTATTGCTGATTATTTATTTTTTTCTTTAAGCAGGAGACAAGAAAGAATAGAGAAAGATTACACGAACAAGCGGTTTATTTGCTCTATTACAGGCTGAACTGATTAAGATAATCTGTAGCCATTTGAAATTAGAGGCAGCCACTGCATTTTAATCACAGTCCCGAACATACATGTAGCATGAGCAGTTATTTTTCATTTCAATTAGATTGTACAATTACAAGATTTAAAGCAAACAGGTCTGACTTGAGCTTTGTGAGATTATGATAAAAATGCAGATTCACTCTCTGACAGCAGGAGGCGCTCATGGAACAGCAGATAGAGCGTTTCCGTGGTTACCGCTGTAAACAAAGCAGCGCTGCGCTAATAAACACTGCTGTAATCATTATACAGAGACCAGATGAGAAGAAAACACCCATCTAAACTGTTCTGAAGACACTCCGTTCCCTTCA